TGGACAAGTTTTGCATGAGCGACTGGCCATGAAACTTCCTGCCAGGAACTGTGTGACTACCCTTTGAACTCTGACATGATACACTTTCTTTGAAAACCGCGAGAGAGCCCGGCCGCCGCCCGCCAGGTTACGGAAAACGTGTTCCGCAGTGGTCGGGTGCTGTGCGGAACAGTATACATTCCAGGCGTCCACCACTAGTGGCATCTAGCGGCGAGATTGTGAAACAGCGTCGGCAGCGTACTCCCGCTTTGTTGAAGCCAATCTTGGGGTTCTAATGCGATTCGCCCCAATTTCAAACTTATCCTTTTAGAGAAATCGTTTATTGTTATTGAAATATGTAGTTTTGTTTCAGCCTAGCATTGGGTAACATTGTTGGGCAACTTCGTTGCCTCTCCCCATGGGTGGAGCTTTTCCAGGGAAGTTGGTGGGGTAAAAAGTCGTCAAACCCACAATGTCCGATTATGAAGTTGAATAAAATAACACACTGAATCAATTCCTATCATTACAGATATAATATTTTGCATTAAACAGACATTCCAAAGCTCTTCAATGCGAAAAAGATTTATTTGCAAAACAACAAAATCTTAGAAATCAGCTAAAACTGGTGGGGAAAAACGCTTATTGGTGGGGCAAAATACCAAGTTGGTGGAGCAGCCGCTCTGTATAGGAACTGTATAGGAAGCTCCGCCCCTGCCTCTCCCTCGCTTAGGTAGGTACACATTTCTATTCTAAAGCGACAAAAATAACCATCAGTCCCGTCTATTGTTAGCTTTTACCGGGTCTGATGTAAATTCTGCCGGCTCTCGTCCTAAATGTGGGAAGAGACCAGACTCCAGACTCCCTAGTGTCGTACCGACTAATTAGATATGTTTCACGGCCGGGTGCCTCCTTGTCTCGTGAGCCATCACCCTATTATATCTGCCGGGGCTGAAATAGCCACCTACGCAGTAGGTGTGTATTTAGGGTCACCCGGTGACTGTGAGTTGATCAGATAAAATGACACTCATTTTAAACACTTTGTCCCGAGGAATGATTAAATGGACAATGAATATGTCTACCAATAGTGTTATGGCGGAGTTCGAACCAAAAAAAAAATAAAAATAATAATAACGACACTTTTGAGCACTACACCTATATTTATCATCATTGCCAGCACGCCGCAATGGACATCAATGAGAGAAATATCAAATACTCCTCATAAGAGGATGCTTGACCGAGTATAGGAACGCGTGGCAGAGCGACATTCGGTGGTCCTTCCGGCCGTGCGGGCGGGACGGTCGGACGGACGGCGGGCGGCGGACTGGTCGCTGTGCTGTGGTCGCTGAATGGTCGCGGCTCGCCGCACCGCAGCGGAAGGGACGCGTCTCCACAGCGGCAGCGGAAGGGACGCCGGTACGACACGTCTCCCAGCCGCCACTGGGTCATCAGTCATCTTAGTGGGGCAGCCGGGACTGACAGTGTCCCCGCTGGCCGGTGCGAGAGTCCAGTCCGGTGTAGATACTCTGTGATAACTAACATGCATCCCACAAGGACATCGGGACAGCGGTTATTAATGCAGGAGACATGTAATACATATTGTGATTCTATTTTGAGACACTAACTGCTAGCACCATTAAATTCAGAATACTCTGGTAAAGTTCGTGCGACCATCTATGCCTGAGTATCATGAGTACATACTTATGCACGGTTCACAAGTCACAAAGCATGCTTATACCGAAAATCCCATGCTAAGGCCCATGCGAGGCATTGTAGATCCCTGGGATGTGCATTGTAAAACGGACGACGCGAGGTGTTTATTCTGGGCGTGAGGCTCATTTTAAATTCTTTCCAGCGATATCATCGTGACGAGTTTTACTGCCGTCTGAATATTCCATGCCATAAACGGCCACAGCTCACCATGTCATTTAAAATACTAATTATAATTAAAACTGTGACGTGTTAAGAAGGCGATTTGGTCCGGGCGGCGGCCAGCGGCGCCGGTCGCCGCGACCATATATCAGAGCGGTCGCGGACTAAACAGGCGGCTAAAACGGTCGGCCGGCCGAGCAGCGGCGACGGCCGTGCAGCCGGAGATTTACCGAGTTTTCGATGATGGCGCGGCTGAGCGGGCCGCGGCCAAGTTCGGGCCGCCGACAGCCCCGCAGCGGCCGCGGATTCTTGTCCGACTTTGCGGCCGGAAGGCGGCCAGACACGCCGACAAAACTCGGCCATAATCACGGGGGATTCTAGCTGTCAGCGTCCTGCCTCCATTAAAAGCGCCTGTCCGCGGTCAGATACGCATGAGATGAGCAGCTTCTTGCGCGGATGGAAATGAAACTTGGATTTAAATGTTTGTTTGTCATCTTCTTGTCAGTTTTTTTGTGTCCCCCTTAACTTAGATATGGTCGAGTGAGCCGATTTGAATGATTGTGTATTTAAGAATTAACTAGGTACTTGCGAAAGCAACGTGTACGTATCTCGCTTGGACGGATATGCTCTGGTCACTGACTGGATAACCGAGAGACTCGCAACACGTTTTCGACCCATCGTATGTCTTTCGAGGACATGGAACCAGCCCAGGTGGCAAGGGGCTAATTATTGGATACATATCACTCGGTCTTCTTTAGAGGAGACATATTGGCAGGGAGGTGCAGTTGCGGTATTACAACCGTGAGCAATGCCTTAGCAACACCAATTGAGGACTGACTGGGGCTTTATTTTACCAAAAGATCGCCTTTGGTAGTAACCTTCTTATGCACTCTTACTCTATTTAATTTTGTAATAGCTTCGAAATGAATAACTGCAAGTTTGTTAGCCTGATTCTAGGGCGCACCAACCAAACGAGTTTCTTGGTATTCAAAAACGACATAAAGAAACATGAGCATGTTTCCATCTCCAAGTCTTGCGCTTCCGGTGCTTGCAATTTCCATTCGCGGTCGGCGGGCGGGCGGTCGCTGGCCGATAGATTGTCCCGTCGAGCCTATGGGCTGACCTGACCCCTGCCCTGACCTTTCCCGCCGCTGCCGCCGCCAATAACATCTCCGGCCAATGTGACAATTGGGCCGGCGCCGAGCGGCAGTAACGGTCGGAACTGATCGGCCGCCCAGCGCCGCCGAACTGCGGACGACGTATGAGAGGGGCGCCCCACTCAAACAGACGGGTCGCGCTACTCACTGGTGTATTCGGTAATCGGGTATTGTAGTTAAATGATCATTAGCGTGGATGATGCATTTAGGTGTAAACTGCAATATGCAATAGGCAGTTTTTAAACAGCGGAAGACAAATAAAGAAAAAAATCACGTAAAAACAGCTTTAATTATTTGAGACTAGGTACCTAAATGCGAAAAAACGTGCAATAGTCAACAACAGTATATTTCGTTTTCTTTGCACTGTGTAAACCACTGAGCTCGTCTCAAAGCATGAATTGTCAGATCGCTGTTGCTGAAAGTCAATTTCAAACAATTTCAAAATTTCAAACAAACATTTCCTCGTGCTCCGTGTGTTCTTTCTAAAAGACAGACGTGTATGACGTTTAAAATTTCTGCGAAATACCATTACAGTACCAGTTACCACAGGGTTAAGGGCCTTGGGGTTAAGTAACACTGTCCTTTGTCTTGTGCAAATTGGACAAAGAATGCTGTTACAAAGTCTGTTCACACATTTCCAAAGCCGCACAGTGGTTTTAGTGCCCTGAGCGTCTGAGCCACTCAGAAAGGCGCTATGCAAGTTGAGCCCAGCACAAACATCGTTTAGTTTTTGGCACTGTTTGGTGCGGCCGTCTCTTCGAAACCTTTCACCACACGTCTCTGCCTTGGAGTCTTTTTCAGTGTCAGCTCACACATCTCAACATATAGCCAGCTGCCTTGGTTTGATCTCTCCCAGAGCGCCGACTGTCACTGCTGCTGTCGCCACCTCTCCTGCAGCCGTCTGCAGAAGGCCTTGAACCTGCCGTCCTGATCCTGGTCTCCTGACCTCCACCGGCCGCTCCAGCTGCTCCAGAGGGACTCTCCGCCCTCCTGACCCTGACTCCAGCGGCGCGGGGCGCGCGGGTCCCAGCTCCAGGCCCGCTCCTGCCTGTCGAAGAGTCCCCAGCCGCGCCGGGGCGGGCCGGACGCCGTTGTCGGCTGGTCGCCGGCCGGCCGATCCCCCTCACTGACCAGTGACCATCGCTGCTGGTGTCGGCTTTCACAGCGGCTCCGCTGGCAGTTCGCCGCGCTCCACTGCCGAACCACTTGTTGAGCTGGTAGCTACCGGCTCCGCGCTGTCGCCTCGCGGTACTGAATGGGTCCCGCCCGCCTGCGGAGGCCTGTTTAATACACCGTGGAGCCACTTTGTTACGTCAGATGAAGACGTTAGCTGGTGAAATGTCTGGCTACTCTATGCGACGCGCGAGAGGCAATTACACGGCGTACCGACGCTGACGCAACACGCTGCGTTACGCCAGCTTCCCGACTGACGTCAGCCAGGCGCTGATACTGCGCCGCCGAACAGCAGTGACTTGCCAAAAGCGAGGCGGGCGGCGGGCGACGATACTGTGCCGCAACACATCCCTGTCGTGCGGGACAGCCGACCCAGCCGCGCGCTCACAGCGACTTGACAAGTTTATGAAGACAACGCCGAGGGTGAATAAATGCTACCGCCATCCAATTCATCAGACGAATGGAGCTGGGCTGGCCGTTCGAGGCATCTGATGTGCCTTTGTAGCGCTGTTTATCGACAGTGGAATATTTTCGGTAGCCTTCCAACTGCCAAAGTTTTTCGGCGTCTCGTCACGCGCCGATCGTAGCAAATAACACGCCGCCTCCGGCGACAGCGCAAAAAAGACGATTTTATTTTATAATACGAGCCCCAGAGCGGTCGACGTTGCGTTTGTCTTCACCAAAGGAAAGCCAAACGTTTTCCGTTCCCGAACAGGATCAGCAATTGTTAGGTTCGCTTATAACTACCTATAGACAATATTCAAGTGACGTCATCAAAATATTTTACAAAAATGGCAACAGCGCCTGGATGGCAAAAAATCGTAAACAAACCGCATGGCTAATGGCGGATCGCGTTGGGCGGGAGTGGTGGTCACGTACGTGGCGGTTTTAATTGCGATTTTCCTGCCATTTTTGGTAATTGTGTTAAGGAAACGAAGACAAGGAAAACCTCTGAGGCTAAGAGCAATGCCATCGTCATGTGCTGCATATGGATGCACGTCCCGGGCAGGCAAAGATGTGGTGTCCTTTTTTCGGTTCCCGAAGGACGCAGACCGTCGGCTTGCCTGGGTCCAAGCCACCAGAAGAAAGGGATTTGTCCCATACGTGGGCTCAAGGCTGTGTTCAAAACACTTTGTGACAGGTGAGTTTCCTGATTAATTTGCCTTGCCCATAAATTTAGGACAGCTTTTGATATCTTTACCAATGGCGTGGCATGAATTGTAATGACACATTGTTTTGTTTTGCATGGCATTACATTGGACTATTATTATATTTTCTCAGGAAAACCAAGCATGGACAAGTGTCATCCAGATTACATCCCAAGTCTCTTCAACTTTCCGAAGTCCCAGGGAGCCAAATCTGCGGATTCGGGTCAGGTCAAGAGGGCTGACCGTGCCGCAGCCAGGCGGAGGCTGCCTTTGAAAGAGAATGATGGAGCTGCTGCTGCTGAAGATAGCGTTGTGAGACAAGATGTGAGTAGCATATGGCAACATAATTGCTTCCTTGTTCACTGAAAGAAAAAATGACACCAAATGGGGGGTAGGGTGACTCTGCCAAAAAGTCCGCCCCACAGGGGTGTCAAAACAACTCCCTTTTGGAGCATCATAACACTGCAATATGGTGTCCATAAACGCCGTTTCTTGGCGCACGTGGACTCCATATTTCGGAGTTCGGATGCCCAAAAACAGTTTTTTTGACACCCCTGTGGGGCGGACTTTTTGGCATGTTCCCGTAAATAGAGTCAAGACTCCCTTAGGACTCTTTCTTTTTGGGGTTATATGATGCCCCAAAAGAGACTCTTTTGATACCCCTGTGGGGCGGACTTTTTGGCATATCACTTTACATGGAGTCACGACATAACCGAGAGATACTCCAAATGTTTTTTTTTCGGAAGTTCCCAGGTGAGACTTCAATGCCTCCATCCGGTTTTAGATTCGACTCCAAGATTGGAGTCAAATCCATAGGCCACGCGTCTGAAAATCTTAGGCTTTATTATTTACAGCATGAGTCTTTCCACATAGTTTTAGCCGCTAAAGCATTATCACACAATCACCTTACATCATACAGAAGTTGTGATGGCCCTGGTTTATACCACAAGCTGCCAAACTCGTAAAAATTATCAAAGAAAGACAAGATTCCTCAAACCTTCATAGAAAGAGCGGAAAGTTTGACCCGAAAAAAGGCTGTGACAGTTAACGACATCTATGAGAAAAGTTAAAACTAGCAGTACCAGCCGATGCCAGCGCCACCTTTATGACATCCGTTTAAGGGAGTCATAGAGGAGTCCGAAACTTTACTTAGGGGGTATACTTTTTCCGTTTAGACGGTTAAACATTCCCGTGATGAGGCGTGACACTTTAGTTAGAAAGGCGTATATTTTCAGCGATGTATTAAGTAGCAGATCTTCAAAAGAAAGCCGTATCATCAAAAGGTAATTTTCAAAAGGGAGTCGTAGGTCATTGGGGATCATTCGACAGGGAGTCGTACACCAAAAGGAGACCTTGAAAAGGAATTCATACATTTGAACTAAGGCGTCCTGTATTAATTAAGACGAAACGTACTTTTTGAAAGGGATTCGCACATTTCCAATAGGGAATCGAACATCTTTAATTTTTAAAAGGGAATTGCACATTTTTAAAGAGACTCGCACATGTTCAAAAGGGAGTCGCTCATTTTCAATAGATTCCCACAGTTTCAAAAGAGAGTCACTTATTTTCAAAGGAAAGTCATATATTTTTAAAAGAGAGTCATCTTTCTTTGATCATGAGTCGAACATTTTGACAAGAGAGTAAAACACCGTTTCTGGGAGTCAAATGTGTAAAAGGAGTCTCGACTCCATGTTAAATGAGTGTAGAATGTGGAGTCGAGACACCTCATTTCCAACGTGACTCTCATAAAAAGGTTTCTTACTCCCTTGCCCAAATGCACGACTCCTTTTTTGAGATAGACACTCCCCAACAAAGGCGTCAAGTATCCCTCTTTTGGTGTCGAACACCCTCGCCGAACTCACTGATCCGATTTAAGGGTATCATGACCCTCTCAGGAGGACACCATATTTTGACGTCGTCGGAAACTGACGCCAAAAGATGGGGCGATGACCATACATTTTGGAGTCGGACACCAAAATTTAAGCACTCAGACTCCGAAATATGGAGTCGTTGTGGAGGTGGGGTGTCAAAATTTTTATCAGTGTTGAATAAGTGACATTGATAACTCCTCTGGGCTCTGATTGACGTTGCAGTGTGGCCAATGAAAAACAGGGACAAATTATAACCTAATGACTGCTGTTGCATGTTGATTTCTCTAAAATGTGTGGCTATGTCTTTCACAGCATGCAGCTGCACACACAGAGGACGCAACTCCTGGCACAGAGATGTCAACAGAGACTGATACAACTTCCGAGCCAACGAGGGATGCAGCAACATCTACAGCAGAACTACCATCAGAGATCCAGCGACAGCTGGTCATTTCAAGCCTCATTCAGCGTATTGAGGATTTGGAGGCTGAAAATGCAAAGCTTCGAGCTGAAAATGATAAGTTGCGTGGAACTACAGGTTTTTCATACAACCACATCAAAGATAATGAGCCAATGTTTAAATATTACACTGCATTTCCATCAGTGAGGGTTTTCTTGTGGTTCCTCAACCTACTGACCACATGTTGTCCATCTCTGTGCAGCGGGCCTGTAGGTGCCCATGACATGGTCCTGATGACAATGATGAAGCTGAAGCTCGCATTGACGCACCAGGACATCGCATACCGCTTTGGGTTGTCCTTGGCTCGGGTGTCTAGAACTGTGAACCATTGCTTAGGGAGCATGGGCTTTGTGTGTAGGAAAATGATTGTTTGGCCAGACAAGGAAACGGTCATGAGCAATTTGCCGCTGTGCTTCAGACACCCAAAACTGAGGAATGTGAGGGTGGTTTTGGATTGTTTTGAGGTGTTTACTGATCGCCCCAAAAACCTGTCATGTAGAGCCAAGACCTACAGCAACTACAAACACCACAACACATATAAGGTGTTGTTGGGGATTTCTCCTGCAGGTGCTATCACCTTCATATCAGAGTCTTGGGGTGGCAGGGCCTCTGACAAGCATATCAGCTTATGTTCTGAGTTGCTGGACTTGATGGAACAGGGTGATACCATTCTAGCTGATCGTGGGTTCACGATCAAAGAGGAGATGGCTGTGTATGGCGTGCGTGTGATCACCCCTGCCTTTGTAAAAGGTAGACCGCAGATGAGTAGCTCTGATGTCGAGACCTCACGCCTCCTTTCTAGAGCAAGGATTCATGTAGAGAGAGTGATAGGTCGCATGCGTGGAAACTTCAGGATCTTGAAGATGTCTCTGCCTGTGATCATGTTCCCTCAGGTAGATAACATTGTTGCTGTCTGTGCTGCTGTTACCAACTTACACAAGAACATTGTTACATGAAGCTAATCTGGTTACAGGTACCTACTACTAGTGTTCATGTGGGACGGGTACCAACTCTAGCTTCATGACTGCTTGCCAGTAAGCCCAACAATATGTGCTGTCATTAGTTTTGCTCGCTCATGGTGCCTTGCTACTTTTTGTACCATCAACTCAAGTCATATTTGTTGTCATCTATGTGCTGGAAGTCATTTGTTGCCTGCTTATGGTGCCTTGCTACATTGCGTATATTCAAGCATATTTGTTGTCATGAATGTCAGATGTTGCACGTCTTTCAATACAAGACAAGTCATGAACTTGTGTGTTCACTGATGCACCAGGCCAGTCGGGTTACATGAGTGATGAGTAGTGTTGCTCCCTCCACCTCCACAGTAAAACGGCAAAGACAAAAAGTTTCCACAGACCACAGTACATTTTATTAACAGAAAAGCTGTACCACAATGTTCAACCCAAACTACAATGCACTAGCTTACTAGCTTGACTGTTAACATTGTACATTTTTGCAACAAATCAGCTGCCAACTTAGCCAGTCTCTAGGCCTCTGACAAACATTGCAGCATTGCTATGACATTCCACTGGACAACTGGAGCTTTCAAATTGAGGTAGGTAAAGCTCACTAGTCGGTACATGGTCCTGTCCAGTGTCCTACGACACCAGATGTGGCATGACTTCTGTGACATAAAACTTTTCCAGCTTCTGGCACATATCATAAATCTGACTCTCATCCCGCTGGATGCACAGTATATGTGGCTCCTGACCTGGGACGTACACACAGAAGAACACACACTGCATTCCAGTCACCATCATCTGCCCCTGTAGCTGATACATATACTTGTGGTCATCCTTCAGCATGAGGTTTTCGTCCAAGAAGGACGCTTCTTGGGGAACACCGTTTCTCACACTGAAGGGGCACTTCACCTCCAACAGAGTCTCCCCACAGCAGTCGCATGACAATATGCCATCTGGGGAAGCTGCCAGGTATGGTGCTTTACTACATACCCACAGCCCTGACCTTCTCACCTTCAGACCTGTGTGCACGAGTTTGATGGTCTCGAGGGCTGCTTCCACTGCTGCATCTTCATGCCTGATGCCCCACTGCACATCCTCTGTGCGCAACAGTTTTGGAGGGCAGATCACCTTGTCGACAAGCGAACTGCTTTTGCGACCACCTCTCACATGGTGCACCACCTCACCAAACACTGAGGCAGTCAGCCGACCATGTCTGTGGCCCTTCCATACTGCTGACTGACTCTGAGCCACTGTTGCAGCATCTAGGTTCCTTAGCAGGTGATCTGGGTACATCTTCGGCAGCTTCGACAGGAACTGCAGGCAATACTCTGGTGAAAGAGTTTTACCCTGCTCCATTTGCCTTTTCAGTGTGACCATGGCCTTGTGGAGAGGATATGGCAGCTCTCCGTCTTGCTTTTTTGGGAGAGCATCACTTGGAAAAGATGACGCCAGAGCACAGTCATGAAACTCCAGCAATTTCATGAGCTCTTGCTGAACGATCGTGTCAGCTTGCGGATTCCTTTGCACTGCTGGAGGCATGTTGAGCCCAGCTTCATTGCTGACTGAGGCCATTGTGCTCGGTTCAACCTTCTTCTTGAATTGGCAGTTCCATTCACAGGCCTTGCTGGTGCAGCTCTTTTCCGTTAGGCCCATCATCACTGCAGTTTGCATCTTGAACAAAGTGCCAGCGACATGACTGCACACTTCACCAAGGCCAGCTTTGCACAAGCAATGTGCAGCCTTCACAGTCCCATCATCGCTGCAGAGCACCCAAGTCAGATACTTCACACTGGCCTTCTGGCTAGCCCGCACTTCGCATCTGATAAACTTCAGATTGGGCCCAGGTCTGAACACCTCCAACTTCCCCACGTGCCCAGACTTGAACAAGTCCCAGGAAGCTAGAGACTTGTATGCCTTCAGGTTCTCTGATGTAAAGCTGCCCTCTGAGTTAATGAGATAGACATATATGTCTGGAAACGTGACTTTGGGAAGCAGACAAAGGTCGGCTTTCCAGTCGCCATCAGGCACGCTAAGGGGATCCGGAAGACGAACCCCGTCACATATTAACTTCTTCTGGTACCTTTGGATATCTAACTGATCCATATCGACCACAGCAAGAGCAAAATATTTCGCAAAAGTCTTCCTCAGGTACACGTACGAAAAAACACACGAAACTCAGACGCACTAACACAGAACCACGCAACGGAACCACGCTTCGCCGTTGGATGGCCGATGATTTTTGCCATCCAACAGCTGACTGCGAAAGAGCCCTCAGGCTGATGACGTCACAGTCGGCCCATACGCAAGGCGTCTATATTATCACCAGTTTGATAAATCATTAAATACAAATTATTTAGTAGGTACCTACCATGTTTGTCAACCAAAGGGATTTTATTTATTCTTCAACTTCTGGTAAACGTGCTGCTAACAGTTCACCAATGCCAACACCACGCTACAAACTGTCACGATTACTACTGCTCAGAGTGCGAAGAAAAACCAAGCAACTCCACTCCAAGACGTGCTGTGCTGTATCATCCCAATGTCGAGATCACTCGCCAGCACGACATAGGCAGATTATCTTTTTCTCGAGCGGCGTAGCGTCCTGAGATTTACAACGTCGGGAGTCGGCAACGCACGCTGTTTTTGTGCTTGTATCTCTGCCTCCGGAGATTTAATACCGGCAGAGTGCCGAGCTGGCATCAAACGGATGTCGGATATTGACGGGCTCACCGGATTTCCCTCATGCGGTAGCTGACGAGGCGCGGCGGATTGAATGCCTGCTGCGTAGTGTTTCGGATGTGGATTTGGCGAAATGTGCTCTGTCGTATTGGCCATAAGTTAGCGTTATTAATTGAGAAATTGAATGCTATTACCACCACCATTCCGTGCTTCTATCCTCAGGATACTGAAATCCTTCTCCTCCACGCCGCAACCCCCCTCCGGGCTGGACAGGCAACTTTATCTCCCGCGGGCTGCTCCCTTGGAGCGGCACCGCTGCTCCCGAGGGAGCGCACCCCGTAGCCGGGTGCAGTGAGTGCCTTGGGGCTGGGTCGCCTGTCCTCTGGACGGGCTCAGCCCCGGCGACTCACTAGGGTGCCTGCCCAGACCAATGTCTCCCCCTATATCCTATCATCCTCCCGGCTCTGAAATGGTCTAATTGGACCGAAAGGGCCTAACCCAACAAAACAAAAAACAAATGCTATTACCAGAAAATTAAAAACCATGAACGATGAACGACAAGGGAGTACCACGGTGCTGGCTGTGCGGCTGTCTTCGATTGATCTTGTGCTCATTTAATCAAAGAGTTATAATTTGATTCACCAGAGAAAAACACAACACCTTCCCTCAACGGCTGTGTTTTCTTACAACTCAGCTACGGCCGGCGCCCGTTTGGCTATTGTGTTGTAAATCGGACCGATTTCGCCGCGGCGCGCCCTTGTTTCTCTCGGACACCTCTCCGGCAGTTGGGCGCCTGCAGGTCCGGTGGATCCGACACACCAATCTGGCGCTCCGTCGGCCACCGGAGGACGACACGGCCGAGCGGCCGTCACCGTATGATTTAAACGGGCCCGGCGCGGCGGCCGCTGGAGGCAGTTACGGTGAGTCTGACCAGCAGCCGTACCCAGCGACCGCCTGTTAACAGTGGACGAGCGCGCTGACCGACCCCGACCCCGACCCCGACCCCGACCCCGACCCCGACCCCCGACCCCGACCCCCGACTGGCAGCGCCCAACAGCCCTCAGCGGTCGTCAGGGGAGGGAGGGATGAGGCGTCAATCGTCCAGTGGAGGGGGTTGAGCCACGGGAGGGGGGCGGGGGCAGAGGTCGATCGGGTTGGCCTTGAGCACCTAGCCGTCCCATGTTTTCGTCCCCCGACCCGACGACCGATTCGGTAGTTAGCTGGTCAAATGGACACTTTGTGGGATTCGTTTCTTGTGTTTTTAAACTATTGATGACGGTAGATGTTACTTTTACTTTGAGGTATTGGACGTTTTTGGAATTAGCGACAGTTATCAATAGCAATTAATATCAAGTCAAAAAATGGTATGGTTAATATAACCAATGTCCATTGTGCGGTTAGGTATATCTGTCGCAGAACATATATTTATTTGTTGCTTGCATTGCATAAGTCTGGTTGATTAACCGCAATCCGCATGTTCATCTCAAAGCTGAATTTTACAAAGTAGAAAAATACGGGTCCTTGGTGATTCCACTCCCTAAACCACAATCATTCCTCTATTCGTCAGACCCCAACTCCCATAAAACGTCATATAAGTCACAATTCAAAGCGCATTTGTCAAGATGAATCGGTGGCAAATTTGTCACCTAGCACGGCCAATTTAAAAGCGCAACATCCCAATGGTCGAGCGGCAAGTTTACAGCCACCAATCAGACGGTCAACTTTGCATCGCCACAATTCCCAGAAGCCGGGACAAGCCTGACGATGCCCGATGGACGTTTAGGCATATACTGTTGATCATATATAAGACGCTCATATTTCATCCTAAATCATATGCCAATAAATACGTACATAATTATAGAAAAATATGTGGCTATACTCGTATCTTTGAAACATATTCCATGTAAGAGCATTAAATTACCCATTAACATTGCATCAACTTTTAACTCTGAACTCGCTAGAGATGTTTCAATGGATCACCAGCAAATGATTTTGACCGGGAGACAAAAGGAAAAGGAGGGAAGAGCCCGAAATCAGCGACAAAATGAGTGTGAATAGGTATCACTGTCATCCTGACATATTGCCATTATTTGAGGCTGCCACCGATAGTGCGATAATTTGCTCGTCTTTTGTTTGTATTTTTGCATTTTTGCACTTTTGCAGCTGATATCAATGCGCCGTCCTCTGAATCTGACTGCTCAGCAGTTTGACACGATATGGTCCACACATCAGGGAGGTTCCCCGGCGTCTCTGCTATACCGGCCCGAATTCCCGGCGGGACTGCGGCTTACCATCCAAGATTGACGGCGTCATTCCACTGGACCCGGGTAAGCCGAACGCTGAAAACAAGCTCCCAGAAACCTAACAGCCCCGCGCCTCCGTTTTTCTTGCTTTTCTGTATTTTGAAGATTTATGCTCTGGGGCTCACATGTTCATTATTCATTCTTGCGGCAGGAAATTATGATCGGTATTGATTTTGAAATTTGCGTTAGCTTTGCCCAGAATATGCTAAACCGCACGCTGGGGAGCTCGAGTGCATTGGTTTAGTGCTCCTGTCCTGTGAAGCACTCAGACCAAGTGCACTAGCACTTGGATACTAAATACCGCG